CAAATATTGGAATTGATTCAATAAATGGAACATTTGCTAGAATTCGTTGTGATTGATTAGATTCTATTGATAAAGGATATCCATATAGTCAATCGGTTTTATTTATAACAGACGAAAGTAATATGTAATGAAGATTTGTTTTTTTTTGTTTTATGATATAATTTTTTTCTGGTTTCTTCAAAATCAATAGAAGTTTTCTTTCCTGCTGTTGATTATTGATCTGCAAGAATGATATGGCAATCGCTAACGTAATTAAATGAAATTCTAAATGATGTAACAAACTCGACTCTAGCTGGAAGTTAGTTCATATTTGTAAGAAAATTGTCAACGATGCTAGGCCTCAAGAGCCAAAAGCTAATCACTTATAGTATTATATGAAGGGATAATAGTCTAAGTTAAATGATTGTTTATTTAGCTATATTTAATTTTATCGTTGATTTATTCAAATATATAAAAAAAAATGATTTTCATTTGGAATATGAAATTTTATTCATTTACATGGACCTGAAAAAACAACATTAAGGTTTTTTTTTCATTCTTTGTGCAAAAGCTTGATTAATCATTTATTAATAATAGAAAAACAAGGTAGACAGTAAAAACTCTTATTTACTAGGAAAACAAAAGAAAGTTTTAAAATCGATCTGTTGTTTCATATCCATCAACAATAATTACATATGAACAAGAACAAACAACATGATGGAAACCCTATCATCGGATTAATATATCTGATGGATGCATAACAATATTACTTATTCAAAAGTAAAAATCAACTCCTTAATTTCAAATTCTTTTTCTAAAGAAAATCATTCCTCTTTCAGTTTAGTAGCAAAGAAGTTTTCAATTGTAGGATTTTCATCTACTAATTCTATGTATCGATGAAACATTTTGAGAGCATATTTCGTAATTTATGAAGTCAAAAGTATTTTCACCCGAGTCGAATGATAAAAGCTCGCTCCTTAGGTATTTTTCGAGTACAATAAAAATAATAATATCGACGAAAACAAAAATTGGTTTTTAACAGAAAATAAATCATGTGCTACTGATAGTGTTTGTTCAGATTGAATCATATATGTATATTTTATTTACTACCATCAATATTCAACTGAAAAATTGACCATATATCAGCAAATCAATCATGTGAAATCGAAATTTATCTTCAAGTAAACGTATTGAAGTGATTTTTTGTTTTCAATTTTTTTTCTTGATAAAGGATTTTGTTTCAATTGATAATAATACTCGTTTAAAAGTTCCAACTGGATATTAGTGATTTAATTTCAACAGAAATATTCATTCGATGGAATATAAATCAAATTTTATGAAAACTTTTTAATTTTCTATACAATTATTTGGCTTTGTCTTAACAAGTTTTCATATAATGACAGTACAGCCGCATTCATCAGACTTGTTGATCTTGTGTTTCTAAGATAACGAATATGTTCATTTGAATAATGCACTCTAATCAATTTTCAAAAGTCGTGCTAAAAAATAATTCTATGATTTATGATTCACATTAATTGCTTTTGCTTTTTCGATGATAATGATGAATAGAAATTTCTTCTGGTCCAAAAAGAAAGAAAGAAAAGAATATGTATTGTCCATGAAGGACTGTATATGAGCATAGGACAAGTATTCACATCCATACACATGAAAAACGATGAAATTAATTCGTGCCTCATCATTTCAATTAATCATGTGATGATTAATCAAATCAATTATATTCGAATGTGCACACCATCGTCAATTATCGTTCGTTAAATTGATATCAACATCATTAGAACGTCTTTAATTGGTAATGTGTATGTTTGAACACATATATATAAGAAACACATTTTCATCGGTATTCTCATACGACTCGATCGAACAAATCATGAGCATGCTCAATAAAGATAAAACATGACACTCACATGATTTATTTTTCACGGTTTACAATTTTTTATATTACTTACAATAATTAGTATTATTTTACTTTACCATTTTTTATAAATGACATGCAGTTATCAGTTTATAATTATTTACAATATTATAAATGAAATATATTTACAATGCTACGTATGAGTTTATAATGTATGAAAATGTATGCATTAATAATGAAATTTATTATATAATGTTACGTTAAACTTTTGAATTCCACAGTAGGAAAAAAAAATCTATACATGTTTAATAATTATTATGTAATTTACTGAAATGTAGCAATAAAGCATGTTCAACGGTGTGGATGGGGTGGGTGGTGTCGGTTTGTAGATATGGGGTGTGTATGTGTGCGCATGTGAATCCGTATGCGAGCATGTTGGTTTTTATCTGGACGTGTCAGTGTTCAGCAGAAATAATTTGGGACTCAAAGGATTAAAATACATTAATTTCCGATGATATTTATTAATCGATATTATATAGTGATGCATTTTTTATAGAACGAAATCTATTGATTTGTGTTATTAAAATTCATCTCTGTACAATTCAATAAATGCATTATATTACTATGAAATTTATCAATTTCATGATGTATTAAAATGTTTTGATTTACAATGAAACTTATTGTATAATATTGTGTTACAATGTATTATTTTAAAATGAAATATATAAGTTTATGATGCATTAAAATGTATTAATTTACAATGAAATTTATTATATGTTGTTAAATTCATTATTTATAATGATATTTATTGAATGATATTATTTAAAAATGCATTATTTTACAATGGAATGTGTTGTATTATGTTTTGTTAAAATGCATTAATTTATGATGATATTTATTGAATGATATTATATAAAGATGCATTATATTACAATGAAATTTATCAGTTTATGATGCATCAAAATGTATTAATTTACAATGAAGTTTATTATATGATATTATGTTAAAATTCATTAATTTACAATGATATTTATTGAATATATTATATTAAAATGTATTATTTTAGAATGAAATTTATTGAATGATGCTATTTAAATTCATTGCTTTACAATGCATTAATTTATAATGAAATTCATTCATTCATTTATTCAATGATGTTATATTATGATTCATATTTTTTTTACAATGTTTTTGATTTCAATGATAATATATGTTAGGATATATTGATTTATGATAGAAATTTATTCTATGATGTTTTTAGAATTCATCTGTTTTTTTTATGAATTGTACGAAATTATAAAAAATATGAGAATGTTAAAAAAGAATATGATTTATTATTGATTTATACCAATAACAAGATTGGGTATGTTGCTTCAAAAATGATCTTATTTATCTTGAGAAAGACTTGAACAAATAAATTAATAGTTGAAAGATAAAAAAAACTTTTGTTTTCTTGAAAGAACAATTCTAAATTAAATTTTCATAACAATACTTACATTGAGATAATGTTAGAATGAGATATAGATGATTTATTTCGGATGAAATAATTTTTTTCTTCGTTGTTTTACACATTTAATGTATATTATTATTATGTTAAGTCTATGTTATTTATGTTAGAAGATAGATACCAATTTATATCACAGCCTTGTCAGGTGGCTTCGTAACCTGATCCAGAGAGAGATTCTATTCGTCATGGAATGGCGAAAGCAGTGTAGTACTCGGGAAGGCCTTTAATGTACGTAGGTCCCTGCCGTCATTATGTACGGTACACCTATGTACATTGCCCTACCAGTCCGGCGTGGTCCGCTCTATATGTACCCGTTTCATACGCATAGGGCCTCTCCCTGGTCGAGCGCGCGCGCGTACGCGTGGAAATGAGCCTAGAAAAGTAGGGAAGTGAAAAAGAATCAAAACCAATTTATTGAGCAAGTAAACGAAAAAAAAAAATTACATTTTCTTTCGAATTTTTTCAAATGTTTCTTTATATTCCAAAAGATGAGGATGTGTTGAAGGTAATTTTTCTTGAGCTATTTCAACTGCTTGTTGAATATTTTTCATTGCTATACTATATTTTCGTGTAGCCAAATATAATTTTGCCATATTATGATATACAACAGCTAAATCAGGATGATTTTTTGGTAATTTCTTTTCACGTATTTCTAATCCTTTTTGATAAAATGTCAATGCCGTTGAATAATCTTTCATTTCACGATAAGTTTCACCTAAATTTATATATGTCAATGCACATTCCAGAGGATTATATTGAACATTTTCTTGAATATTTAATGCTTTTTGATGAAATGCAAGTGCCTTTTCATAATTACCCATTAATCGATGAACATCACCAATATCACTGTCTGTAGTAGCTCGATCTGGATGATCGTCAGGCAAGGCTTTCTGACGTATTGAGAGACATTTTTCAAAATTATCAAGTGCCTTTGAGTAATCTTTCATACTGCGATAAACTCTTCCGAGCCGACTATATGTTAAAGCAAAAGTTGGATTACCTACTTGAAATGCTTGTTGTTGAATTTGAAAAGCACTTTGAAGAGCCTTAAGAGCTGCTGCGTAATCACCCATTCGTTCGTAACACGTTGCAAAATTCAAGTGACTACTAGCCAATGAGGGATGATTCGAAGGCAGAGCTTTTTCGTAGATTTTATGTGCTTTTTCGTAAAATTCAAGTGCTCTCGAGTAGTCACTCATGTCATTATACACTTGACCGATGTTGCTGTAGGAAGTAGCCAAATCGGGATGATTCGGAGGCAGAGCTTTTTTTGTGATTTCGAGATCTTTTTCGTAAAATTCAAGTGCTTTCGAGTAGTCACCCATGTCATTATACGTAACAGCAATATTGTTGTAGATATTAGCCAATTTTGGATCATCTTTCGAAAAAGTTTTTTCAACGATTTCGAGAGACTTTTTGTAAAATGAAACTGCTTCTGTATATTGTCCTTGGTTGTTTTTCAACCGTCCGAACTCGTTATAGATATGTGCTTTATCACTGTCGTTTGATGCCTGTTCTAGTAGTGCCATGTACAATTCTTCGGCCTTGTCGAACTGCCCAATTGTGAGAAGCAATGTACCAATACGGTGCCATCCACTGCTACCTGATGATTCTTCTCGTATACGATTGGTTAATTGACGAAGTTGTTGGTCGTCATCTGACGTAAGTTTAAGGTCTACTTCATAAAGTGGACTTTTCTTATCAACTTTTCGAACTTCACCGATTCGAAAGACGGTGTGCATCGAGAAGAGAATTTCCTCTTCTTGCACGAAATCACTAACCTCCTTGATGGAGGCAAAGGGAGTTGATGATACCATGGGATCGATAGTCATTTGAAAGAGAACGCCAACCATTCCTTCTGTTCCTAAGGCTTCGTTGGCGAAAGCTAAGGACACATTTCGATTTTTACTGGTGGATAAAAAATTATTGAATGAAATGAGTCCACCTTTGTTTTTGACGAGTTTTTCGTGATCTACCTTTGGTAATCCCTGCCCGCGATAAACAAGAAATGTCTTACCATGATATTGACTGACTTGCTTGGTGTGTAAAGCTTCAATTTGTCGATGAACATCACATAGATAAAATCCCATTCGGATGATAATGTCACCGTCGAGTGTTCGTAATGCTCGATTGAGCATTTTGTATGTAAAACATTGGCGGGTATACCACCAAATGGCTTTTGATGGACGATAAGTATGTTGAAATTCATCGATCAATTTGAACTCTTTGGTATTGTCCTTGTATTGTTCTTGACAAAAGGCAACCAAATCTTTTATGGCTTTTTGGCCATGTTCCATATCAAGGAGTATTTCCTTGAATATTTGTGTATACATGAAGGAAGGCTCTAGCTGATTGAGATTTTCGCTAGAACCTCCTTCATTGACACTGATAATACTGACCGTTACTTGATCTTGATTGCATTGTTTGACAGCTAGTGGCAATTTTTCACAGATGTGCTTGATCGATGTATGCACACCTTTAATTTTGGGCCAATTTTTAGCCCATTCTTGGTGACGTTGCTTGTTGCCACAAAAGATGTATATGGCATTCAGTTTTGGCATGCCATGAATTTCTGGTATTAGGTGTTGTCCTAATGCACCTGAGGAGATGACAAATGATGTCTCCTCATTATTTTCCTGGAGTTTTTGGATACATTGTTCGGCCGTGGTGCATGGATTGACTTCATTAACAACACTGCGCAGTTGCGCGAGTGTATTCGGGGAATCTTCATTTGCCATGTTGATATTGCTGTCGGCCCAGATGACCAGGTAATTTTCAGTCATTCGTAGTCGTCGTTGTCTACTCATTTTCGATGTTGTTTTTGACGTTTGCTCGACGATTGAATATTGTGAATGATCAATTGTTGTTTGGATAGAAACCACAGTTTTCTATTTATACATTCGATGTTGGATGTTTTTTTTTCTAGATGATTCTACGACGTCAAATATGGGTGCGTATTTTTTTTTGCTGACACTCAAAGATAAACCCTACCGACATTCAATTGAAAATATGCTTGTCAAAAGCAAACGAAAGAAAAAAATCCAACAACATCATTTATCTTATCGTTATTCTTTCCAACTATCATTGGTTTTTTTTCTGTTGACTTTTATTTACCCTATAAAACGAGGCTAACAATGCAAGATAAGAAGAAATTAAGCAAAATTAAATAGAATGATAAGAATAAGATAGCAAGAAGAAAGATACAAAACCAATAAGTGAAGGTATCATCATCATAAGTCTGTGGGCTAGTGCGATCTTATGCTAGGATGTGTGTGTCTGGATGTGAGTATGGGTGAATACAGTTGTGGCCGTATGGTGTGAATTGGTGCTGGTGGGTGTGGTTGTGACTGCGGCTCTGGGCGGGCATCGATGTGGGTTGGTACAACTGTAATTGTGAGTAGTGGATGACTGTGTGGGAGTGTGGCTGTAAATGTGAGAGCGGAACCGAGTGACATGAACGTGGTTGTGGGTGTCGATGTAGGCACGGTATGGGTGTGAGTGCAGGTGTGGGTGTGAGTCTTCTCTTCAGCAAACACACGTTCACCTACACCGACATCCACACCCACACCCACACGCACACCCTACCCTAGGGTGTCGGTATGGGTGTGGATATGAGTCTTTTCTTCAGCAAGCACGCCAACATCCACCGACACCTAAGCCACACCCACACCCTCATGCCTTCATTCTTCTTCAAGTTAAAAATCTTGTCGATGATGTGAAACAGTAGAGTAATGGTTACAGTTGGCGTGAATGATATCAGACCTCTTCACGCCCTCATGTCAAGATAGATAGCGTCTCCTTGTAACTTGTGTTTTGAAAATTTCCAATCTCTTCGAACCAACCATTGATTTTACTTTTATTCTTATTTCGAAGGGTACTCTTGTACGTCTCATTTCATTCTAGCTCTCTGATCATTAGTAAGTCGACTACAGACTAGCATTCGACAATGTTCACATCAAAATTACTGAAGAAAGAAGTTCTCCAACGGATGCACGCCGTTTTTGTTGATATTTTGCCCATATGTATGGTTTGATGACACTAGAAAAAAGGCTAAAAAGATAACGGTGCATAAGCTTTCCTTCTCGAATGATGATCATTTTACTTGCTTTACCACCTATGACAAGGGATTCAGTGAAAAATCAACTTTCGTACACATGCAAGTCTTATGACCTATATATTAGGCTTAAGGTTGTAGTCAAAACAAATGCTTCTGTCGTGAAATATTGATTTTTCCATAGAAGTCGATTTTCATGACATGTATGTAGCACGGTAATATTTTCTTGATAACGCAATATTTCGAGAAAGAGGCGTTTGTTTTGACTGGAACTTTTAGGCTAATATATAGGCCATAAGACTTGCATGTGGACGAAATCTCAGATCGAAATTTCTCAATTTGATTTTTTGCTGAATCTCTTGTCCTAGGTGGTAAACCAAGTAAAATGATCATAACTTGAGAAGGAAAGCCTATGGGGTGTTATCCTTTTAAGTTTTTTTCTAATCTCAGCGAACCCTACATATAGGCAAAATATCAACAAAAACGGCATGAATCAATTGGGGACTTTTCCTTGAGAGTCTTGTACCATTACGAGCTCTTCGCAAAGATTCGCTTCGGTTTGAGAAATGAACTTTTCAAAAGTTTTATTTTCATGTTGTTTGATCACCAATCAGTTAAGGAGTCTACAATGAATATATTATGTATTCAGACAGGCTCGACAGGATACCATGAATTCTTGTTTTGTTTTTTAAAAATGGTACAGTATGCCGTTTGTGTCACAGGAGTTAATCGCAGAAAAAGAGAAAAAAGTTGGTTGGGGCACATGCTTTTATTCTTCTTTCGCGGAAAGTCGATGACTTTGCATACAACATACTTGAATAGCAGTCTTCACTTGCATAATAGATATTTGATAAGAAAATGGAGAACGGAGCATTTTGTTAGCTATCATCAGTGGGCTTTATCCAGCTTACAAGTAGAACAACACAAGGTCAATACACAGGTGAAGTAACGCTGAATCAGCAAGCGTTGATGTCTGTTACAGTGGAGAGTCAGGCGGACATGTGCGAAAATATTCTTTTCTAGAATCTAACGATTTGCGTAGTTACATGCATATGTGATCTATCATTTCCTAAAATAGTGGTTCTCAAAGTTTTATAAAGCCCAAGAAAAGACCTCGCCAAGGCTTGCGCCCCAGAAATCAGCATAAATAAAGAAAATCAAGCTGCTAGGCAATATGAAACAATATGGCACAAACAAACAATATCACAAAAAGCTTCCTCATGGGGTAGATCTTATGTTTAAAAAAAAGTGATCCAAATTTAATTTAAAATAGAGTAGAAGACAAAGGATCTCGAGATCCAAAACCTATCTGAGAACATATCGTTCCATATATTGTACGCGCTACAAAGAGAAAATGTCGAATCGAGCGCGCATTTTTACCAGACGTTCTTACATATGTAACCTACTTATGATAGTGGCGCAAACTTATGGAACTTTTCTTAAGAGAGGGTCCATGAGCCCACCGCTAACATGGGCATTTGACAAATTTTGAAAGTACGATATTTTGGCACCAAAT